TAGTGCACATGTCAGACCCCCAGGACAAGAGAGACATATAAGTGATACAGTGAGATAAAAAGTATTGAGACACTAAAATCATTGTAAATAACGCTTCTCAGAATTAATTGGGAAATATCAGAGATATTTGTTATGATAGTAACCATGGTCATCAAAATGTTGGGGGCTTTCAAAGCATTACATTAAGGTCAAAATGGGGTGACCTACACTCTACCAAATGTCTTAGTGGCCTAAGCTTAACTGTTTTCCCATCAAAGGGGCTGGGCACTCATTTTTTCTGTGCTGTAGAAGCAGGATCACATTTCATTTTGTGGGATTCTCCTTTTCAGTTCTGGGCCTTGAGCTGCAGGTGAGGATTAATAAGGATAAAATAATAGGATGGGGCTGTACTTGGATAAACTGGAAGATGGATTGGTAGAAGGCAAAGGAAAGTTACTTGACTTAAGGTAAAACTTTCACTTCCATGAAAATGTTATAATGGAGGCCTACGGGCCAGGTTTAAACATGGTGTAAATCAGCATAAATCTATTCAAGGTAATCTAATTATATCTGCTTATGTTATGTGAGGATCTGACCCTATGCATATAATTCTAGAGGTTATTTATATAATGATTTCTATATCAATGCTTTTCAGTTTGCTACTGGATGGGACTTTCATTTATGAAAACTCATTTAAACTGAGAGGCAAGGATTTCTTAGGGTGATATCTTTTATTGGACCAGCTATGGTATTTTTCCATAGTTATGTCTTCTGGCCTTTGCATTTGGAAGCTTGTCTAAATTTATCTCAACTACATAGTTGGTCCAATAAAAGATATCACCCTAAAAAAATCCTTGCTGCTCATGTAATTTCTGGACCATCATAGCTATATCACTTATTCTACCTTAAACACAGAGACAGCTACCATGTATAAAGAAGTATCTTTTGGTGGTTATCTTGGCCAACACAATCTAAGATCTTAAAATTTATATTGTATTTTTTCTTTCTCGGGCATAACTCGTAATAGAGATTATATAGGCCAGACTGTAACCTCAGTGAAACCCATTCTCCTTAGTGGGGATCATGTATGAGAGATTAATATGAATGTTGAGGATGGAATAGAATCTCTCTCTCTTGGTTATGACAACTTTACTAAGCTGTAAAATGGCAAACATGTCTCTGATGCAAAGATTCTCAATCCTGATAATCACTTCTCAGCAGGGTACCAATCTGCAGGTCCTGACTGCTTGCTTTCCTTGGCATTGTGGGATATTAACCTGAGTGTTCTGGTTGGAAGTAACTCTATTCCAGTGGTTTTGAACTTTTTTAGATTTGAGGCATCCCTTGAAAAATTCCAGCTCTTAGTTTTCACTTGTTTTTTGACTACAGAAAAATAAGAGAGCAATTCTTGTGTTGCAAAGAACTCACAACAGGCCTAAATGTTTTTGACATGATGGCTTCCTATTTGAAATCTCTGGGTTTATACTGTGAATCATGTGTGCACATCCAACACTGCTAATATTATGTGACATCCTGAAGCAGCCTTGAAAGCACCTTAGGACACCCCAGGGTGCCATGGTACTCTGGTTTAGAATGGGTGTTCTGTTCTTTCTTCACCATTTTTTCTTGACCTTGAGGTTTTCACAGGATTTTATCTCTACTAACCTTTCTGAAAATAGTTGTATGATTTTGCCAGAAAAGAGCTGCTACTGCATTGCTCTCCAGAGGCAGGTGCACTTCACTAGAGACTGAAGTGAAGTTAAACCTGTAAAGTGTCCAGAGCTGAAGCACCATCATGAAATACATAAATGTAAAATACTGTGATTGTAAGGTAGTATTTCATTTGTTAAAAAATGAAGGAAAGCAAAATTCGAACATGTTTCACATGAGAAGTACTTCATCAACATCATCATCACCAGCAGCAGCAGCAATACCTTGCAATTGAGGATGATTGTCTTCCATGATTGCCTTACCTGTGGGACCAAAGATGGCTGACAAAGCCAATCCAGGATTGACAAGATCTCTTGCAACTTGGGCATGTTGAGAGAGACTTACAGAATGGATGTCAATACGCAAGTATTATGTAAAGGGAACAAAGCATTTATTTTTTTTAAGTTAGTCAACAATTTACAAAATTCAACTGGGGTAATGATACTCTGGATTTTTTTTGCATCTGCCTTCCAAACCACCATAAACAAGTCACATTTTAAAGGATTAAAACCATCCCATCTGTCCTCTGCTTTTTCTGGTGACATTTTGTTACAAAAATGCCTCTTATTTGTAATGTTACTCAAGTCACGAGCATTTTTATACCAGTGATCTCAATAGGAGAATTGGTTTTTCAGCTCAGCAAACTAATCTTTCTGACAGTGAAAAATAAGCACTATGATTGTTTGTTTCTTTAGTGGCAATGAAAATGCAGAAAGGTGTGGTGTTCTCAACAAGGGCAAGAGTGGAACTGAAAAGCATTCAAGTATTCTGGAGATATGCTTGAATGCTTCTTTCCAGAAGGCCTGTACAATCAGGTAACTCTGCTTTCTATTTTTTTTTTTTAAGGGGAAAAATGTTCTTAAAGTAGATACTGGCCCTGCCATTGTCCTAGTGGAGAACTGTACAACATTAAATGTTTTAGCTAGTTGCCTCCTTACTGCCATGCTCAGTTGTTGATTGAATATGATTGTCCTACGTGTACCCAACCTCTTGGTTATTATTTTCTTTCAGAGTTTAGATGTTATTGAAATTGGGTAAATTATATGAATTTCTTTGTGGCTTTTTACTTTAATAAAGGACAAGACAGGGTAAAAATAGCATTTATGACTAAGCAAGCATACTTCTTAAGACATTATTTGCCAACCAGCTATTCACTGAGAACTTTGTCTGTAATATGGATGTTGAAAAGTTTTGTTTTCAGACTGAGAGTATTTCCAATATTTAACAATTCTTTAAAGAAAACCTGCATAGATGTTTTCTTTTTTATTCTTTAAAAAAATAACTTTGTGAAAAAGATTGAAATAAACATTCTATATTAACTAAAAAAACCCAGAACGACAATGAAGGACCAGATTCTGGCTATCCTTGCTTCAGTATGCAGATCTCCCCCCAGGACTCAGCAGACCCCCCTCAGTGCGTGCAACAAACAGCCAAAGTAGTGCTTTATGAATGTAAATGGAGGTGATGAGGCAGCCTGGAGTGGAAAGTACAGTCTCAGTGCATTTACATAAGACACTAACTGTGCAGTAGCCTAATTCTATGGTGCAGTAGCAAGTGGGGAAAAAACCATGCTAATATGCTACTGAGTCATAATATTAGGCCACTGCGCAGTTTGCATCAGTAAAAAGCCATGTGCTGGTGCTACTGTGCAGTAGTGCCAGTTACTGGGCATTGATTTAGTACTCGGTTATACAAGTACTAACTGTAATGTGCAGTAACTATGGCACATTAATGAGCATACCACTCACACTGGTGGTATGTGTACCACGGTTTGGGAACCACTGGTCTAAAAATCTTGTACTAGTCAGTAGCCATGAACATACATTCATTTCTAGTGGTGGAAATTTCTGAGAAATTTCCACTACTAGCAGTGCTTCCAGGAGAGGCACTGTACAGGCATTAAGCTCGAAGCCACTCCCTCTCTCCTGCTCTCCATACCTTCACCAGACTGAGGGAATCCTGGTCTGGGGAAGGAATAGAGATCAGCCACTGCTCCACTCTTGCCAGTCCAAGGGGAGAAGGGAAGCAGAGGTAAGACACCCTGCAGCCTCCCCAGCTAGGGACCCCTGGTTTGGTGAACAGGCAGGCAGTATTTTCCCTTGTTCTGCTCTTGGTCTCCAGGAGTGGAGAGGAGGGAGCAATGGGGCAAAGCCCCCAGCCCCTTCCACGGACCAGGCAGTCCCTGGTCAGGGGAAGTGGCAGAGACCAATGCTCTTGTGCTGTCCTCCCCATAGTGACAAAGCTCTCGCCCTATTCCTCAAACTGGGAAGTCCCTGGTCTGAGAAGTGTGTGTGGAGCATTACCCCAGTGGGGCGTGGGTGAGGAGCATTACCCCAGTGCTCTACTGCTAGTTTGGACCAAACTGGGAAGAAAGTGTGCAGGGGTTCATTTTTGTAAGAGAGGTTTCTCTCACAGGGAGATCTTCCAGGTAGATTCTTCTTTCTACTGAAGGGGGCATATGTCTCCTGGGAAGTTTCTGCTGGGAGAGTGGCAGTTGTCTCAGAAGAAACTTTGGGTATTTATCCACATACTTTTTTGATCGGTGATGCGCCGGAGATCTGCCACTTCGGAGCAGACTCAATGAATCCACATGTGAGCTGATGCGTGCTGTGCTGTGCCGCTTGCAGTTGTATAAGCGGCAAAATGTGTGCCAGCATGCAGAAAATGGCAGCGGTGCACTTTTGAGCTAAAGTACATCCAAGGTGTTTTAGTTCAAAAGCGTGCCATTTTCTCAGCGCTGATGCACATTTCACTGCTTATACAACTACAAGTGTCGCAGCGCAGACACATTTCAAAGCACCTGGCACTGTGGCACTTACGCATGTAAAAATGCCCATAATGCCTATATGTCATACTTGGGATACTGGAATTTAATCCATTCTGGGATTCCAGGTGCTCCTATTCAGGATATCTTTCATATGCAGGCTGTACCAACAACACTGGCAGAAGATAGCATCCTTTACAACTTCCTTTTCACTTTAAAAGCCATGAGGATTATGCCAATATATGAAGCATCGTTCATGTGCTGCAGTGAAGGAGAAAATGGCTCTCAGTACAGATTAATAAGGCCCATCAGCGCTGTGGACAATATGTTGTAGCTTCCCTGAGAGACCTTTGGCAAACAACAGTTTCCTTTGTCTTGGCCACTGGATTGGAAAACAAGCATTCAGTTTGGATTGGAATGAAATGCACTGTTTCTATTTTTTACCCCCTAGCTTAAATGGTAAACCAAAAATATTCCATTGAATTTGATATGCAGTGTTCCATTTGACCTGATCTGAACTGCTTTCTTTCAAAGTTTTTTTTTTTTTTTAAATTAAAACAAACAGTTTCACTAAATTGACGGCAGGTGGGAGGCTTGGGGGAAAGGGAGGGGGCTGGTCCCCTTTTACACAGTTGCTAGATCTCTCACCCAGGATGTGGGAGATCTGGTTTTAGTTCCTTTGTCAAACTTACATTTCTCATGTGTAAAGAGAGTGCTCCATTCAACAGGTTACAGACTGTATGGGACAGGAAATTTCAAGATCATTTGTTTATGTTGCTCCACTTTGCAGAATTAATCAAATGTTCAATGGAACAGGGAACAGAGCTCACGTGTCCCATCTCTCAGGATTATTCACCCTTTTAGTAAATAATTACCCTGCTGTAACTCGGCAAAGTAATCTATTTCAACAGTTCTCAACAAGAAATTGAGACCACTATCTCACAATGCCCTATAGCAGCCTGTTGGTTAGGGTTCTCATTCAGGAGGTAGGAGATCCAAGGTCAAACAGTCTCTGCTGGATTTAGGGCATGGATTTGAATCCAGGTGCAGATCCCTCAGAATGGGGAATTGAATCTTAATCTCCTATACTATGGGTGAGCGCTATAACCAATAGTTACCAAAAAGAAGTGCAGCCTCTTTCATGAATCTAGCCTTTCCTTCAGTATTTCATCTGAAACACTTCATCAAATCAGCAACATTTATGAATAATTTTGGCATAATCAACACAGGACCTTTTGGAGCACTTCATTTGCTTTAAAATGTTTTCTCAGCACAGCTCCTAAGGGAATAGACTTTATTGATGGGAATGAAAATTAAGTATGTGGGACTTTGTAATTCCCCAAAATTCAGTGGTAGGAGCAGACTGGTCAGTTTGGGTCTGAATCACTATGCTGGGCTTTGGTTATAGTCCTTTGTTGATAATGGTTTCCTACACAGTGGTATAGTGGCTAAAAAAATATCACGACAGTGACAGAGGCATGAGCCCAGCCCTCACTCTGGATTCATGTCAAAGTCTGATGTCAGTGGACCTGACTGTGAATGGCTACTTGGCCTTTGGGTTGGAGAGTCAATGGCAACCATGAATATTGCTAGCCATACCACTGTTGTGGGTATTAATGGATGCAGAAACTGACATTCTTTCAAATAAGCTCAAGTAACCTAAGGGTTCAGGTACGTGTTAATTAATCTAGGTAAGAGCTGTCTTTAAATGCCCATGATGGTGTTATTTTCTGATTGACAAGCTAGGTTAACGTAATGTCCACTAACCTTCCAGTATAATCAAATAGCTAGAGAATTGGAAGAATAGTCTGAATAAGAGCTATCCAGATTATTACTAAAAGGGCAGAATGTTGAGAGAGACAATTTGATAAGAAAGACTGCTTTAAATATGACACTTTTTAAAATATTGCCATGTAATGAATAATGCATGGTGTTGTTATATGATCTGATAAACAAACATCTGTCAGGGATGTCTCAGTTCACTGCCTCAGAGATGAGGGATGGAGTAGGTGACCTCTTTCAGGAATACGTGATTTTTGTGATATTATTATTTTTTCATGTATGCTGGTTATGTCCACAGGCCTGATTCTGCACTTAGAATCTGATTGGTGTAAGTCCTTGCATATAGATGGAGTTTTATGACTTCAGGGTATAACAGGGAGCTTAGTGCTCCTGTTACTTGAAGGGATAAACTTCAGCTGATAGAACCCATGCAACTGAGTAGGGGTTAGCTTGAACAGAGATGGCAGGAAAGAAACACTCCTGGCTAGGCATTGAGCTGCCCATTAAGGCAAAGGGGCACACATGTAGCCACTTAAAGAAACAGTTGACAGGAAGAAGGCAGGGCTTAGGGAGAATATAAGCACAGAGCCTGAGCCAGGGTGGGTAGTCTGGCCTTGGAGTTTGCTGAAGAAAGAGATCCAGAGCAGGAGGAATGCAGAGGAGCTTACGGCTGACACCTGGGGAATTCAAGGAGGTGCTGCTTTTGACTTGCTGGTGCTGCTGACTTAAAGGGAAATATGGTTCAGGGTAAGGGGAAGCTTTGTGATACAGCCAAGGAGCTGGTGTTTGTATTTTAGCCAGACTTATTCCTGTGCTATAGTTTATACTGTGGACTGGATTGGGACTATCAAGGGTGGAGGATGTCTCAGCAGTGCCCTAACTGGTCAGCAACAGGGCCAGGGGGCCCGGTGCCTGAGCTGGGTAGAGATACTGGGACCAAGGGACCCAATCCAAAGTAGGTGTGACAAGGGATGGAGCCTAGAAGCCAGGTCTGACACAGTGGGCCTGGCCTGGAATGCCCGGCAAGAAGAAAGGGGAAGAAATGCCACAACAAGGGGAGAGTGACTGAACAGTGACATCAGCAAGGCATGGGCATAGGGGGCATGGTTGGGTCAGAAGGGCCTACCTAGTGTGAGGGCAGATTGAGATCAGCACAGTCCAAGAGGGATATGCTGGTAGAAGATGGATAGGGCTTGCTCTAGGACCCTGGGACAACCTCCCTTTTCACATTTTAATAATTCCAACAAAGGCATGGCAGATGAAGGAAGA